CTGAATCTTTAGTGACTGAAAGTATTTTAAAATAAAAAGGTGTAGCTGTTTAATAAAAAACTGACTATTTGATTTAATTTTGTTTGACATAAAAATTGTTTGAACTAATCAATATTAAAAGTTATAGACTTTTCGCATATGCTACTTATTGTAGCATCTCAAAAAACCTTTTATATATACGGAGTACAAAAACTCTTAAAATTGCATTGTCAAACATTCAATTAGAAGCTTTTTAGAATTTTTAAAATAGTGCAAAAATTAGACGATAGAAACTAATGTCATCAAACATGTTTTTTTTACCCCTGAAGGCAAACCACCAAAATATGTCATCAAACATGTCATACACTAATTAAATAAAGGAAATAAGACCAACTTTTTAATAATAGGCAATATTGGTCTCATTTGAAAGATCATGAAAAATAAAAAATGTTGATATAAATTTTATAAAAATCGGATCAAAAATAAAAAAGTTATTACCATTTTTTAAAAACAAAAGGAAAAAAAAAATATAAAGCCGTCCCGGTATACGGTGCTCACCGTATACCGGTTGCACGTTATATGCACTCGGAAAATACTATCATGTGTAAAGTATGATACTGTCAAAATATGACATTAATTACTTCTATTTGAGTGATAAAAACATGATAATCTTAGTTTAGAATATACACACGTTTTTAGTCCTATTTAGACTACTTTCTCATAGTTTTATTATACTTCGTAATTTTTACTTTAAGTAAATATAATTTCCTATTTGTTTTGGAAATAAGACCAAAATAGTATATCGCTCATAGGCCCAAAACTGATATCAATGTAACGGGTCAGAACTCAGAAGTGACAAAATGGACTAGATGCATTAATTTCTAACTTCTAAATAGCATTAGCACTGAAACGTAAACGGACATGCATTCTTACTCAAGAATATTGGGAAACACATTCTGATTCATGAGCATTCTTCATCAATATATTTATAATTCTTATTATTTCTTGTTAGTTCTTTAACTCTTGCATGTCACCTAAACTATTTGTTTATATCTACATATACAAATCATATTTACGAAATTTATCTTAGGAAAAATATAGCTTAAACAAATGTCAATCTATATTTTGACTTCTATGTAATATTCTGGTTTTTGTTAGGTGAAGTGACTGGATCTGATACAAAGAGTATAATAAGTATAAGGTGATTGCTTCGGTACCTTAATATACTTGAGGGTGTGGTACTTGGTCCAAATGGTCCATTAAATGCTCGCCATGTGTGTTAAGTTTACAGCTCAGATCTAATATTAAAAGCTTCGAGTACTCCTTAAAATTTTCTTGTGTGTCCCTATAATATGTACTAATTTAGTTGAATCCATTCTATTATGTTATCCTCCGTTAATGCTTCGTCAATTTCCATTTCATATTCCTGTCGTTTCCCCTCATCAGTCTTCTTCCTCTCATTTCTTCCGTCTGCGGCTACCGGTGCAGAGATTCAGATTCTCTCTTACTCAAGGAAATACTACTTCTAATCGTGTGGACAGAGCAGGTGCAGGGTTTCACAGCTTACACGAGGATTGTGGAGATTCCAAAGTCAACTATCTTCCTTGCCCTACGGATTGATGATCTCAATGGAAGGTTGATATCAACCATTTTCCATCGGCGAGGGTAAGTGAGTATGAAAAACATCATCTATACAGAAATTAGTGGCTATGTTATTGATCTATTTTAATTTATGTAACCATAAGTTTGTGAAAGTCAAAAGCACGTGTTTTTTAAATTGAGAAATCAATACCTATTGAATTTTGTATCATCATGTTTATAGAGTTGTGCATAGAGATAAGAGAAAGAGATTAAAGAGTCTGTAAAGTAATAAAGCAGATAGGAAGAATCTAATGTTTGTCTAAGACAATCAGAAGCATTAGTATTTTCATTCATTGAATAGTTCTGATTAGAAGTGTTTACAGAATTATGAAAATAGGTGTTATAAATTTGCTGACAATTTCATGATTATTCTTGTTTAAGGAATTAGAAGAATTGACACTATTAGGTGAAGTATTAGCTAATTAATCTTTAGAGGGAAAACATTTTCATAAAAGTTGGCATTTCTAGATATAAACACTTTGTGTGTGATTAAATCATATAGCTTATAGCCTTTATATCATAAATGGTAACATATAAAAACACATTTAGAAGCTGTATGATCAAATTTATTTATTTCATTAATCAAGGTGGAAGCATAAGCAAGAGCACCAAAGACTCTTAATTGAGAATAGTCTGATCGATTGCCATTTAAGATTTCAAAAGGACTTTTACCTTTCACAACAATAGTTGGTAACCTGTTAATGATATGAACGGCAGTCATAATGCAATAAGATGATAAAAAAGATAAAGCAAGACAAGACCGAAAGAGAAAAGGTCTAGTAATTTCAAGTATATGTTGATGTATTATTAGATTCAATAGGATCCGAATTAGAGTTTGTCATTATGAAGCTGAGATGGGGGCAGAAGCGTTAGATCAATTTCTGACCTAATCTGATACCATATTGCTGATTACAGTGTCTTGGAGAAGAAACAGATTTTATTGAGATGTCAGGAAAGAAGATTGCACAATCAAATAACTATCTAAAGTCTTGGGAAACACATTAGTGCAATGAATATTGGTGGCAGCTAGGTATTAAATAACTACCTAAAGTCTTGGGAACACATTAATGCAAAGCATATACGCGAAAACAAAAATCTAAAATATAACTATAGATTAATCTAAGAATATAAAAATTTAGGAAAATTGTCAAATAGGTCCTACTGAAAAAGTAATTAAACCTTTATAAACCTTTAACAAACATTTTCATGTTCATGTGCATTGCAAATAGTACTGACAGTTTTAAATGAATAGAAAAACTGAGATATAACATTAATTAATAAAGAATACCAATTGTAATAAAGCGTCAATAATAGAGAATTCACGAAACTGCAACTAAAAACGTCTAACATATCTGAGGAGCAATCATAAAAATTGAAACTAATCAATCAAAATAACGAAGCTAATTCTAATAGTGTAATTAATATATGTATTGAATTAATCAATATCAAACTCAAGCATGTGCTCATTTGACTTCTTCAAGAGTGCCTCACGAAGATTGTTGAATTAATTCAAAGGCAAATCCAATGTCATCTTAAGTCTTGTACCATCATCAACCTGTAAATTTTAAGGAGATTATCATGTAATTAAGCTCAACATGTTTTAGCTTTGTAGATTAAAATTTGTCAATGATATGTTTTACCTCAATCTTGTATTCATCACTACCCATTGACATCATCCATGTGCAAACCCACACTCCACAATCATTTATGTTATAATGTTAAAAATCAGAAAGCGTTGAATTAAGTATGTACTTGATAATTTTTTTGATATGACAAAATTTACGATCCAGACTGTTGACGGCTTAATTCACTTGGTGTGACATGATTGAACTGTGAAATCACATGTCTACTTGTTTGTTTAAACTCGTAGAAAGAACAATCTTGCAGCATGTCTTCTATATATTGTGCCTTAAAAATGAAGGATTAAATGTCCTTTTAAGAATCATGGTGCATACTTAAAAATATAATGCACTTTGATAATTATTTCCCACTTTTCTGATGCTTCCACTTCTTAGTTTCATTCGTGACGAATCAGGACACAATCAAGATATATCAATTGTTGCTTCTCAATATCAATCGCGAGCAAATACCAGTGAAAGTTTCCATCATTGATTGAAACAAAGACCTAAGGTAAAATAAGTTAATAACTTCTAAACATTATGTGATTCCTTTTTCATAGTAAATTTAAGAATGTGGAAGATTTTATATAAAAAACTTATGTACATTGCATAACATATCGACCTTGCCCATAAATCTATGTTTATATTGTGAAAGAGTTTTTTGTATGGGAGCATTCCAAGTCAAAATTGATTGTTGTAAAATTGAAAACAATTAAAGCATTCATCACTCCTAATTTGGTGTTAAAAATAAACATTTGCACATTGTATTAAAATCTATCGAAAATGTGGTCGGCAAAAACCAATGCCGCCCTTTGTACTTGGAAGTCGGCCTTTCTTTCAGGGTGAGTATAGATACATATAAGTTAATAACTTGTAGTGACGAGCCTAACCATTAGCCTTTTACGGTTATTTTTAGTAAAGTTGAAGAATGTTCTACTTACGTCTTGCTCGATCATTATGTTAGGAATCAAATTGAAAAGTGAATTCCTATTTCCATCGCAAATATCCAAATCTGTTTTGACCATTGTCTCAAAGCCGCAACAAGGAAACCAATATTACAATAAGTTTTGTTAAGTGATGGGAAAATATAATTGAATCAAATCTTAAAAATAGTAAATGTTTTATTACCCATCATCTAGTGATGATTCTTTTTTGAAAAATATATATGTTGCCACAGCCACTTCTTCAACGATCAAGAACGTACTTTGTTTTGGCTTGAACATTCTCGATAAACACTATCAAATGATGAAGAATAGATTGTAACATAATATAAAGGCAGTTGAAAAAATAAATCTACAAAATTTCATATTATTATACATACTGGTGGTATATTGGTTCCCAGCAATGTTAAACTCATTTTTTTCATTAACTTGTGGGTTGATGTAGTAACCTGTTGGTGAACATGTTGGTGTCAATACTATGTCACGAAAAAAATTTCTGTGTTCTTTAGAAAATAATTTCTTGCTCGGTCTTTTACTTGATTCTCCAACATGAAATTTATGTGATGTGCGGTTTTTTTGCTGAGCGGTAGCATCTGTGGTGGTGTGTGCCATGGACTCGATTGTTGGTTTTGATTAAGGAAGATCTCCTTTAAGCTATCCATTGATTGAATGACGCTGTCAATAGTAGATTCCATTTTCTTAAGGAAGCTCTCCTTTACATTTACTCTACTATTGACATCGTCATTTGATCAATCGATAGCTTAAAGTAGAGCTTCCTTAACAAAAGCCAACAATCGAGTCCATGACACCACACCACAAATTCTACCCCTCAGCGCTCAGCAACAAAACCGCACATCACATAAATTTCATGTTGGAGAATCAAGTGAAAGACTGAGCAGGAAACTATTTTCTAAAGAACACGGGAAAAATGCTTGTGACATGGTATTGACACCAACATGTTCACCAACAGGTTACTACATCAACCCACAAGTTAATGAAAAGATTGCCTTTATAGCAATTGATGGGAACCAATTCGCCACAAGTATGTATAATAATATGCAATTTTGTAGCTTTATTTTTTCAATTGCCTTTATATTATGTTACTATCTAATTCTTCATCATTTGGTAGTGTTTATCGAGAATGTTCAAGCCAAAACAATGTACGTTCTTGACCGATGAAGTGGATGTGGCAACATACATATTTTTCAAAAAAGAATCATCACTAGATGATGGGTAATAAACCATTTACTATTTTTTAAATTTTTTATTTTATATTTTCCCATCACATAACAAAACTTATTGTAATATTGGTGTCCTTGTTTCAGCTTCGACACATTGGTCAAAAGAGATTTGGATATTTGCGATGGAAATAGGAATTCACTTTTCAATTTAAGTCCTAACAGAATGATCGAGCAAGATGTAAGTTCAACATTCTTCAACTTTACTAAAAGTAACCGTAAAAGGCTAATGGTTAGGCTCGTCACTATAGGTTATTAACTTATATGTATCTGTACTCACCTTGAAAGAAAGGCTGACTTCCAAGTACAAAGGCCGGCATTGGTTTTTGCCGACTACATTTTCAATAAAGATATTAATACAACGTACAAATGTTTATTTTTAACACCAAATTAGGAGTTATGAATACTTTATTGTTTTCAATTTTACAACAATTAATTTTGACTTGGAATGCTCCCATACAAAAAACTCGTTCACAATATAAACATAGATTTATTGAAGTTATGCAAGGTACAAAAGTTTTTTATATAAAATCTTCCACGTTCTTAAATTTACTATGAAAAAGGAATCACATAATGTTTAGAAGTTATTAACTTATTTTACCTTAGGTCTTTGTTCCGATGAATGATGGAAACTTTCACTGGTATTTGCTCGTAATTGATATTGAGAAGCAAGAATTGATATATCTCGATTCGTGTCTTGATTCGTCACGAATGAAACTAAGAGGTGGAAGCATCAGATAAGTGGGAAATAATTATCAAAGTGCATCATATTTTAAGTATGCACCATGATTCTTAAAAGGTTATTTAGTCCTTTATTTAAGACACAATATATAAAAGACATGCTACACGATTGTTCTTTCTACGAGTTTAAACAAACAAGTAGACATGTGATTTCACAGTTCAATCATGTCACACCAACTGGATTAAGCCGTCAACAGCCTGGATCGTAAATTTTGTCATATTAAAAAAATTATCAAGTACATACTTAATTCAACGTTTTCCGATTTTTAACATTATAACACAAATGATTGTGGAGTGGGGGTTTGCACGTGGATGATGTCAATGAGAAGTGATGAATACAAGACTGAGGTAAAACATATCATTGACAAACTTTAATCTACAAAGCTAAAACAGGTTGAGCTTAATTACGTGATAATTTCCTTAAAATTTACATGTTGATGATAGTATTGGATTTGACTTTAGATGAATTCAACAATCTCCGTGAGGCACTCTTGAAGAAGTCAAACGAGCACATGGTGGAGTTTGATATTGATTAATTCAATACATATATGAATTACACTATTTGAATTAGTTCCCATATTTATTTTTATTGATTAGTTACAATTTCTTATGATTGCTCCTGAGATATCATCATCATTTTCATTTACCCCAGTGCCGCAAAAGCTCCCACCTATGGTGGGACTCCTGAGATATGTTAGAATTTTTTAGTTGCAATTTCGTGAATTCTCTATTATTGACGCTTTATTACACTTGGTTTTCTTTATTAATTATTGTTATATTTCAGTTTTTCTATTCATTTAAAACTGTCAGTACTCTTTGCACTGCACATGAACATGAAAATGTTTGTTAAAGGTTTATAAAGGTTTAATTACTTTTTCAGTATGATCTATTTGACTGTTTTACCAAATTTTTATATTCTTTGATTAATTTATTGTTATATTTCAGATTTTTCTATTTCGCGTATATGCTTTGCATTAATGTGTTTCCCACGACTTTAGGTAGTTATTTAATATCTAGTTGCCACCAAAATTCATTGCATTAATGTGTTTCCCAAGACTTTAGATATTTATTTGACTCTGCAATCTTCTTTCCTTACATCTCAATAAAATCTCTTTCCACTCCGAGACACTATAATCCTCAATATGGTATCAGATTTGCTCAGAAATCGATCTAACGCTTCTGCCTCCATCTCACCTTCATCATGACAGACTCCTATTCGGATCCTACTAAATCTAATAATACATCAACATATACTTCAAAATACTAGATCTTTTCTCTTTCAGCCTTGTCCCCCTTTATCTTTTTTGTCTTATTGTATTGTCAACCAGATACCAACTATTGTTCTGAAAGGTAAAAGTCTTTTGAAATCTTATATGCAATCTATCGGACTATTCTCAATTAAGAGTCTTTGGTGCTCTTGCTTATGCTTCCACCTTGATTAATGAAAGAAATAAATTTGATCATACGGCTTCTAAATGTGTTTTCATATATTACCCTTTATGATATAAAGGCTATAAGCTATATGATTTAATCACACACAAAGTGTTTATATCTAGAAATGTCTACTTTTATGAAAATGTTTTTCCCTATAAAGATTAGTTAGCTAATACTTCACCTAATAGTGTCAATTCTTCTAATTCCTTAAAAAAGAATAATCCTGAAATTTTTCAGCAAATTTATAACACCTATTTTCATAATTCTGTAAACACTTCTAATCAAAACTATTCAGTTCATGAAAATGCTAGTGCTTGTGATTGTCTTAGACAAACATCAGATTCTTTCTATTTGCTCTATTACTTTATAGACTCTTTAATCTCTTCCTCTTATCTCTATGTACAACACAATCATGCTATTGAACATCAACGTCTCAAACATGATGATACAAAATTTAATAGGCATTAATTTCTCAATTTAAAAACATGTGCTTTTGAATTTCACAAACTTATAGCTACATACATTAAAATAGATCATCAACATAGCCACTAATTTCTGTATATGGGTTGTGATGATGTTTGTCATAATCACCTACATTCACCGATGAAAAATGGTTGATATCAACCTTCCAATTAGATCATCAATCCGTAGGGCAAGGAAGATAGCTGACCTGGAATCTCCAGAATCCTCGTGTAAGCGGCGGAACCCTGCATCTGCTACGTACATACGATTGGAAGTAGTATTGCCTCGACTAAGCGAGAATCTGAATCTCTGCACAAGTAGCCGCAGACAGCAAAAAAGAGAGGTAAAAGACCGATGAGGGGAAACGACGGAAATAGGAAATGGAAATTCATGAAGCATTAACGAAGGATAACGTAACAAAATTGATTCAACTAAGTTAGTAAATATTAGAGTGGCACACAAGCAAATTATAAGGAGTATACAGAGCTTTTAATATTAGATCTGTAAACTTAACACATATGGCAAGCATTTAATGGACCATGTGGACCAAGTACTCTACCCTAAGTATATTAAGGTACCAAAGCAATCACCTAAATATAATAATGTCATATATATGTTACTTTGAATGCGAAGTCTCTCCACTTCGTATGCAAAGTAATGATTTTACATCCTACCAAACGCGATCTAAGTGTCATTTATAATTCACTCATATACAAGAAAGTATTTTTATACTACTTCTATCCCTTTTTATTTAGCTATCCATAACTTTTTCAGTAAAAAATGATAAACTTGGATCCATTATTTTAACTAATATATTTATGTGATACTTAATACGGAGTAAATTTATACGACGTATTTTTAACGAAAAGAATATTTTTCATGTCATTTTCTTCTTATCAATTTTGCTGTATATAAATATATAATTAGTCAAAAAGTTTAAAATCTGACTTGAAAAAATAAACTGTGAAATTATTAAATGAATTAAAAAATTTCTACTACTCCGTATTATGTCACCAAAGCCTATTTCTGTCCTTCCTCGCCAGTAGCCCCCAATGGAAAAATGAAAATGGAGTTTTGGGTTCCTCTTTTCAATATTTTCTTGAAGTCGACATGCCCAGAAACCGACGCCTCTCTGTGGCTCCAACAATCTTTCAAGCCCGCGTCTCCATCCATATCAACAACTTCTTTCATTTCACTACTTACAAGGAATATTGACGTCAATATCGTAGACCCTTCATCTCCGACTTCCACCCCATCAAACCACGCAAAAAGGTACTTTTTGTTTGTTATATTTCTTGTCTTTATGTTCTCCTAAGATGAGCTTCTAATTGTGATTTGTTTGGGGATAGTGTTATGTGGATAAGGACGCTGCCCAATGCAGTTCAAGCTCGCATACTGTCGTTTCTTTCATATGAGAGCGGAAAGTTCCGTAAAAGAGACTTGTGTAGTCTGGCTGAGAAGATTTTGCGTGACGGATTGGAGCTTGATTTCTGGGTAAAGAGCACTGCACAGCAATTGCTTGATGTTCTGTCTGAGTCAAAATATGAGTGGGCTTCTTGCTCAAAATTGGAGGATGAATTTGGATCTTTGCCAGATTGGCTTAAAGATGTTGCTGGTAAGAGTGATAAGGTTCTTCCTTGGCTGCCAATGTCGCGGAATGAACTCATTTCAAGAATGCAATTCAGTAGTTCCAGTGAAAATGATGATTTGGTTGTTGAAATTGAAGAGGACAAAGAAGATAATTCAGATGAAATAATGGAAGAAGGCAGCCTCAGCTCTTCTGAAGATGATGCTTCTTTAGAACCCGGAGTGGAAAAAGTTGCAGCTTGCCTGAAACTCAAGATACTAAACTCTGAATCTACATTTCAAACAATAGAAATGGCCAGGGAAATACAACGGCTTACCAAAGGAGGAGGGAATGCTTTGGCGATTTTAAGCTTAATTGAACCCTGGAAGGCAGATGATGAGACGGTCTCTATTCTAATTTCCCACCTGGTGGGTGAAAAGGAAGATGAGCATGTTTGGCCAAGTTATATTCTCTGCTCATTTGTTCTTCCCAAACTTTTAGAGCTCCACGAACCTGCATCCCGGGTGCTGATAACAGCAATTGTGGAATACTGCAAGGTTTATCAGAAAGCCGCGGAATATGCTCTATTGCTTCCATTGGTGCTAAAAATTGGAGGCATAAACAATCCAATTTGTGATGTTATTACCAGGATTGTGAAGGAATGCTTGCACCCTGGCCATGCTTCATCCCTCTGTCAGAGACTCATATGTGAACAGGAAGCTGCCCCTAAGTTAATCTGCCTTCCGTGTCACCAATGTTTGATTGGCAGTGAAATGGTATGGACAGATTCATTATTTGTTTTGATGCAAAATATTCTAAACCATGACATTCATTTGACTCAAGACTCGGTTGACCGATTAGTTTATTGCGCTTGCGAGTGTGCCCGAAAGTTCTCCAAGTCTTTGAAGTTCTGCAACTTTTTGTTATGTTTGGTAAACAAGTGTGGACCTCTGTTGAAGACACAGAAACTAGCTTTGATGGATGCTGTTTCACATACCAGCACACTTGTAACGAAATCAATACTATCAAAGTTATCTTCCTTGTGAATGATGATGCTTTTCAAACCATGTGTAGCTATTGGACTTCCCTTCTCATCCTTTCTCCAAGAACGGCATGACGTCGGGCTGTTTAATCTAAGATCACACTGTCAAGATTTTCCCCGATCTCACACTTTAACCCCAGTACCCCACCATAACTGTATGGTCTCAGACCAGATGAAGAAAAGGGATTAAACGATAAATAATGACAAAAGACAAGGTCTATGCCTTTTATTGAAATTGCTATCACCATTTATTTAAAGTTGATGTCATCTTTTTTGTTTGTTACACACAAACACATATATATCTACCCTATTTGATTCATTAACAAAACATCTTTTTGGTAATGTATCTCTCTCTAAGTGTGCATGTGCATGTGCATGTTTGTTAGCCCAAGAACACAATATGAATGATAACAAGATCCGCAAGGAATATAAGAGATCACGTTAGTTAGCTCTACAAGCCATTTGGATGGGCCTTCCTTTGTGCTCCCCCTTCTATGGGCATTGTTGGCCAATACAGCAACACAAGTCATCCACTTCTATTGTCATAGAGCATAGCGGAGTAACAACTTGAAGTTCAATTACTTGCTCGCCCCCTTACACTTGTCCCTTATCCCCACCATATTTCTCTCGACTAGCTTGCGGATGGGAATAGTTTCTATTTTCAATTTGTATCTAAAGCTTTCTGAAACATAAGAAAAAACCTTCCATCTTGCTTTGCAGAGACTGAGAGACCTAATAAACTAGCAACTTCACCTCATAAGAAAAGTATGAGGCTGATTGACATGGAATAAGAGTTTTAGGCTTCTAGAGAAGGAAACTACTTTCAAGCAAGGAATTTCTCACCTGGGAATCTGGGATAGCTTGAATTTAGCTAGTTATTTTTTCAGAAATCCGGATCTGTGTCCAACACATTATGTGGCACACCGTTCTGGATGAAGGGTTCCTTACCAATTCTATACACACAAACAAGTTACATTATATTACCCATAGGCCATAGCTAATTTCAGGAATTCACTTCCTTCGCCTTCAAAGCCATACCACTACAATCTTATTGAACCACAAAAATCAAATCCGAAATGAAAACGAAGGCATGGTAAAAATGGACAAAGATTACATTAATAATCACATAAACACTAAAAACGTCCTGCCTTTTAGGGATCAATGGAAGTATTGGCTTTCACATTAATTAATGAAATCCGAAAATGAAAACCGATAGATGCTAAAAATGGACAAAGATTACATTAATTAATCACATGAACACTAAAAAAAGTCCTGCCTTCTAGGGGTGAATGGAAGTATTGACTTTCACGTTTCAACCAATCTTTGGTGGTGATTTTTGTGAACCTTTCTCTTCTTATTGCATTTATATATCATGAAAATAATCTACCTTATTGTTGTGTACTTGTGTAGTCTATTACTCCGATGGTGAGAACCATTATTGAGTACACTTGTGGGTCGATGCTATGGGAAAACTTGGTCATATTAATGGGAGCTTCAGGTTAAGCTGCAACATCCATTACAAAATTTCTTCTGGGAAAACAAAATATGTTCATGTAAGGCTGGTTGCAACCTTTGGGGATGAATAGACAGAAAAGGTCAAATAGAAACCCTGAGGCTTTCTTCTTGTAGTTTATGGATTAGTTTATGTTCTCACCACATGTAAACAAAAAATAACCATCTTACGTTATACAGCTGAAAAATAGCCTATTAAAATAGAAGAACAAAGAGTAATATAAGAGGAAAACAGATATAGTGCATTAACACAATTAAACATGAGGCTCGTCTTAAGAGGTGAAGCTTTTTAGAAAGCAGCTAGAGACCATTTTCCCCAAAACTGAACCTTTAAATTTATTTAACCCATGAATGCAAAATCACAATCTCATATATTGAACCACAAATAGCATTCAACATAAGCTAGAGAACAAAGGGTATTGTAAGTTCAATTTCCAACCATGCAAATTGCCTACTTGACAAAATAACAGAACTTGCATCTACAAAGTTACTTTTCTTTATAGCACTCCAAAGTGACCTCTTCATAGCATCACACACAATTCTAGTCTATGATCACACAGTTGGATCCTTAACTGCATCATCTGCAGAAAGATTGAACACTAACACTAAGAAAAAAAGTGTTTCAAAAACGACTGTCAGTTACAACAGGAGCAGTACAACTTGAAGATTAAAAGGTTGGAAAAATAAGAAATTTAGAAGTATCATAAACCTTTAGTTTCAGGAACGGAGGATTCCAAAGCACCTCTAGCTATGTTTAAGTCATCAGCCACAACACTGATAGCTACTTTCACGTTTTCAGAATTATAACCTTGATCACTGCTCATTGCTCAAACTATCTTGTCCAGCAGAGGAATTACTGTGGTTTTGAATTTCAATTTTGTCAACCACTTTCTTAGACTTTGATCCGCCCTCACTGGATGGTGTAACTGATGGTGATTTGTTTTCTCCATCCATCAGATATATACTAGGATTTAAATGCATTCCCTGGCATCACAATGCCTACCAAAAGAAGATCAGACTTGATCCTCAGTTCATATTGACCAGTAGAACAGATATGAGAAGCAATTGCATGCTCTTTATCAACTATGCAAGTCATACAATAAAAGCTTTCTTCAGAAACTCACTTTGATTTACAGACATAACTATCATATTGTGGCCTCTTTCCACCTCATTACCTTGCCTGGGGAAGACCTATCTAGTCATGCTTCCAGTATTTCTTGTGGGGAGGTCTTCCTAAATACCAACCTGCTCTGCCCTATGATTTCTACTGCATCAATTATCACCTAGTAGCTTTACCATTTACCAATATAAAGCTGGAAGCAAAAGGTGACACGGAGAATAGTACAAAAAAAACAATTAAGGCCAAACCAAGGTTTGGAAAGGCTAGTTCAGGTATCTAGGCGGTTTGTTCAAGAGAGATGAGGCGTAAGCCTCAAATTTAACCAACAAGCAAAACTTAAAATAGTCGAACTTGTGGCACGCCTCAAACCCCGCCCTGTAAGCACCTTTTTAAACCATGGGCCAAACAGAGCATACCATGAACTCTAATGTTAACTGTAATAAAGAGATGTTGAAATGGGATGAGACAATTTATGACATGCTGATCACAAGTTAATTAAGTTGCATCCATTAGTCAAGTGCCTATGAAGAATGTTAGGGATAATAGGAAGGATGGCCAAGACACAGGGAATTGTCAATGGGAACTTCAGGTTAAGCAGCAGCATCCACTACAAAATTTCTTCTTGAAAAACAAAATATGTTCATGTAAGTCTGGTTGCAACCTTTGGAGGTTAATAGACAGAAAAATTCAAACACAAACTATGGGGCCTTCGCATGTAGTTCATGGATTAGTTTATGTTCTAACCATATGTAAACAAAAAATAACCATCTTACGTAACAGAGCTGAAAAATAACCTATTAAAATTGAAGAACAAAGAGTAATATGAGAGGAAAACAAATACTACATATATAGGAGGGTTAACACAATTACACACTGGGCTTCATCCTAAGAGTCAAGCTTTTTAGAAAGCATCTAGAGACATTTTTCCCATTAACTAAACCTGCAAATTTATATAACCCATAAATGCAAAATCACAATCTCATTAATTGAACCACAAACAGCATTCAACATAAGCTAGAAAGCAACCACTTTGCAAGTTCAATTTTCAACTGTGCAAAAAGCCTACTAGACAAAATAAGAACTTGCATCTACGAAGTCTTCCTCATAGTACTCCAAATTACTTCTTCATAGCATCATACACCATTCTAGTCTGCAGAGCTGCCAACTCTGCGACCTTCACACAAATTTCAACATGCTCTTCCAACAGCTTGGTCCATTTCTCCTCAACCTCAGCGGCCCAGGAACTCTCCATCAGATTCAATTTCTCCTTCAACATATCCAATGCCGCATCAGACATCCATGGATAGAATTCCTTGTTCAGATGATTAACCAAGAGAGGATATTTGGACTGAACATCCTTAACTTTTTCAACCACAACAACTCGTTCATCATTTCCCTGGACATCACCTAGACTTTTTCCCATCCCATTGTCATTTAATACATTTTTTAGAGATGCATTCTGATTACCTGCATTCCTCAGCTGGTCATCTGCAAATTCCTTTTCCTTAGTAGAGGCGTCTACTTCCACATGTTTGCCCTTCTTCGGCTTCTTTGAATCTTTCTCTTCGGCATCCAAGACACGCTTTTGGGAGGAAGTTGAACGAGGCAGTACGGTGAAGCCAGATGCAGAAGGTGAAGATTGAACTTCCTGGGAATCGGAATCTGATTGCTCGTAGAAGGATTCCGAAGCGGGTGCATGGCTTGTTTTCTCCTCGCCCTGTCCTCCAGAGACGTAACGGGGTTCTGATTGAGGTTTCTGTAGTTCTTGAATAAGTTCGTCTAGCTCAGGATTCTTGTCGTCCTCGTCAGATGTTGCGTCTTCACGAGATGATGCAGAGGGAGGCTCATCTAGTAGACGAGCTTTGGATCCAGCGGCCATTGTTTTGCATGGCGGGCGGGTCTCAGCAGGGGGAACGGGTCGAAGAGACGACGACGACTGCCTCCCCAATCCACATACAATTACAGACCTCTTCATATGTGATGTAGGAGTAACACTCGAATCGGAGAAAGAAATGAGTCCAATTGTTTGAATTTGTTCCAAGTGACGAGACTAGAAGACCTTGCACAAGATTCTGGCGGAGACTTTTTGCATAAAATTGAATTAGCAAAATCTATTCAATAAATAATATTTCAAATATATTTTGTCAATAAAATAAAAAATAATTAAAATGATTCTCATCATTAATTTCATTCAATTTAGCCAGAAAAATAACTTAAACTTTACTTATTCTAATTATACACAATTCACTACGTGAAATAAAAAATTACGTATATAGTATTTCTTTAGAATATTTGTATACGGGGTATGTTTTTTTCCCTTTTTTCTCCCTTATTGAACCACCAAGTAATATGCAGTAAAGATGTTTTTACTTTGACTGAAATTTGTTGATATGGTCTTATCTGATCTGTTTAGATATAGTTTTTTGCTTGAATATTACTAAATTTAATCTGATTTCCAAAAATGTGACAATTTTTTAAAAAGACAAAAATGTGACTAAGAAGGTCACATATTTGGAAAACATGATGTCAGTGTCATTTTTTTGTCACTACCGGACTGTTATGTCACTATAAGATATATGTCACTGCCGCCGCCGCAACCGTCGGTCACCGCCACCACCGATCACCGCTGCCAGACACAGTGACACCGCTATAGTGACACCGCTAAAGTGACTCCGGCCAAAGTTACGGCCCGTCCATCACCCACAGTGACACCGCCATAGTAACACGCCGTCTCCGGTGTCCCATCCCTCCACCGCTCCTTACCCCAGCCCCCTCCACTGCTCCCCTCCCCCTCCCCTGCACCCCAGCCAACCTCCCCTGCACCCCAGTCCCCTTTCCCTGTCCCCAGCCCCCTCCCCTGCACCCTAATCCCCTTCCCCTTCGCCTTCCCTGCCCCACCACCATCACCACAACCCTGCACTACCCCCCATTACCCCAGACCTGCCCTCATTATCATTCCAGACCTGCCGCACCCCATCAACATAGCCACACCCCATCCCCACAAGCCCTGCCCCATCCCCATCAGCCCTGCCCCACACCATCGGACATGCCCCAGGCCCCCAGGCCCCCAGCCCTCAGCTCCAACCAGCAGTACGTCCCAACCCCCAACCCACAGTCTCGAACCCTAGCCCCCAACCGCCATCCAACAAACTCCGTCAGTAACCCTAGTTGTCAGCCCGTTTTCGCCGCCCTGGGATCGAAATTGAATGCCATCGAAACCTTGCCAACCGGATAGGTGAAGATCGACGGCAACAGTCTACTAGAAGTAGATGTAGAGCTCGCGAGAAGAGAAGAAGTAACTTTGGTGATGGAGGTGCGGCGGTCGAACGGTGGTGATGATGGAGGCGATGTGGTTTGGCTCCGGCGTGCGGCGATGGTGGTTCGGCTCCGGCGTGCGGCGATGGTGGTTCGGCTCCGGCGTGCGGCGATGGTGGTTCGGCTCTGGCGTGCGGCGATGGAGGTGCGGATCTGGCTTGCCGCAATGGAGATGCAGCTCTGGTTGACAGAGATGGAGGTGCGGCTATTTTGAGCGGAGATGGAGAAGCTATCTTGCGTAGATTCAAATGGCCAGATCCAATTGCGCAGATTTGTGCGTGAGAGTAAGTGTGGGGGAGAGAGAGGCGCTTATAATCAGTTACTTTTTTGGAAAAAAAGTAAAATGGTCATATATTTGTCTTTCAAAACCCCACAACTAATACTTTTGCCATTTTTTCGTTTAAATATAGTCAGATCTGGTCTAGTTTGAGCTGGTCTGGTCTGATCTGGTAAATATCTGGTCTCTGTGTATTTTATAACTACGGAAGTCTGGTGCGATCTGTTTAAATCTAGGCTCATCTAGTCTAGGACTGAAAAGAGTTTAAGTACAAACATCCTAAGTATACATGGATCATCTATGTTGTTTTATTTCATTTTTCACTACAACACCCGGGGGCATGCCCCGATAGTGTCATGTTGATATGAATTAAAATAGTAAACACCAATAGAGCTTGTAAGTTATTTAAAGAAATGGTTAATAATGTCTTTTATGTTGAAGAAATATATTTATTGATATTTTTGAGAAATTAGAAACATGATTTAAAAAATTTATGTGTATATGGTTTATTATTATTATTATTATTATTATTATTATTATTTAAGTTTTAGACCCATTCAAATATGCACATTTTCTGTTAATGTGGGGTATACGTAAATGACATTGGTAATGTGTTCTTTTTTGCGAGTTAATGAATCACACTGCATTTAATATTAATTAAATTCACTCGATTCACAATTTAACAAATCACACCGCAATAATGTTGCAATATTAAGAATTGTTTTTGAAATAATGTTCTTGATGAAATATATTTGTAATGGTTAGGTCAAACTGCAAATGAGTGATATTGAGTATCACTTTAATTTAGTCCAAAATAAAAATACTACCATATAATTAATTAAATATTAAGCATTTGAACTAATTAATAGGATATATCGTTAGGTACTTTATTATATGAGTATTTAACAACTAAGGAAAACACTACCTTTAACAATTTAAAGTCAAGTAAATCTTAATTTAATAACAATTGAAGCCTAAAAATATTAAAGACTTGTTATTCAACATGACTTAATTTGTTCGAGGTAGCAACATAACTTAGGAAATTCAAGTGGGTTCTCTCCTAAAATAAGGCCATAACTAAATTAATTATAAAATTCGAAGATGTGAAAACAATTAGGAGCTAATAAATTGTATTGTAGCCGATCTTGTGGCAACTTTCATTGTGTTTCCGAATTGAACTATGCCTAATTCGATTTTACTTAAGTGTTTACCATTTGTTTATATTTCACTATATTCCTATCATTTATTAATTTGTTTTAAGGGGCTAATCGCTAACTTTAATTAACAAATATAATAATGTTTTTACAATATTGATCGAACTTTCAAAAAAAAAATGCTTTAGAGAGATGATCATTTTTTGTTCTGGTTTTAGTAAAAGTGTTTAACTATATTCCCTCCCCCTTTCGTTATGAAAGCTTCTAATCACTTTATAATAAATATTGATGATTTTCATTGTGAATTAAATCTTACTGTATTTAGTTTCACGTTTTTATTTGAACGTATCTGTAAAAGTGATTTTGCATCACATGAGATTCCAAATTGTATAAATATTAGACTGAAGTAGTTCTATCTCTTAATTAATAATTTCTGAGGTTAATAAGATAGGTCCTTAATGCATTCTATTTATTATTAATTAATAATTTTAATAATGATCATAACCATTGTGCATTTTTTTAAATCTAGGCTGACTTTTAGCCTCTAGCCTCTTTTCTACAACAAATTTAAATTTTAGGGGAAATTTTACTTTGCATCCCTTTTTAGTGATATTGATTTAACTTTGCCATTCAACCATTTTCAAAATCATTAATATTATGTCCATCCTATTTAATATAAGGAGTAAAGTATTTGACTTTGCACCCTCATTCCTTCACAATTTTTGACCTAATGAAGTGCACATTAATGATTTCTATATATTTGACTTTATCGGATTTTTTTAATGGAGTGACTTTATTTTACTCAATTACAATAATTAAACTCTAAAATGAATTTAATGTTACAATATTATTATCAATTCTTATCAATTACTCCATAATTATAAACCTGATAAAGTCCTATTTATTAGCCGTAAAGAGTGAACGTATTTATTGGGACACCTAGGAATATTGATGTTATCTACTTTCTCTGTTCCTAAATAAATTTCCAACTTTCATTTTTCGTCTGTTCCAATTAAAACTTTCACTTTCCCTTTTTGGTAAAGAATTTGTGGTTGATGGAGTATATGGCCCGGGAACCCCCGGCCCACAGACTCCTACTACTCCAGCGAAGGCCCAGAAGGCCCAACAGGCCCAAATCACAGCGCCCAGAGTACCAAGCAGTCCGCACTACGCGCCAGGGGTGTCTTCGGCCCCCTGGCCGAAGGCTCTAAACTCTCACAGAACGGGTTTCTCAAGCAAACTAAGAAACTGGGAGAAAGCGGCGAAAACAGTAGCCCTCGGCACTATGAGCCCTCGGCACCAGGGTGCCATCGGTTGGAGGAGCCCTCAGCTACTGCTCTATAGCCGAAGGCATCTCACTCGACAAGATATCCGCCTCACATGCGTACAGATCACCGTACCCTGTACAGACGTCACATTCAACAGCCGCATTAAATGCGGCCACATGCGGCTGCCAGCACCAACCAGTTGAGGTGACCCCTCGGCCAATGAGCGTTTGACACGTGTCCCTGTCCGTCATTTATTGCTACTATAAATAGCACCCAATTTCCCCATTTGTAACCACGCTGAAAACACGACATTCATACTGAATACACTCTCTCTCTCTTATTTACTTGTGCTCTGACTTCTCTCTAAGTTATTCCCAGCAATAACCCTTCGGATATATACCCCCGGGTAGACTATCCATCATTTGGTGCTCTCGTTGAGAGGTCGAACAATCAAGTAAGAAACCCTCCCCCTCGATCAAACACAAAACACTAGCCCTCTATCAAAATGGTGAGGACAACGCGTGCCAACTCAAAGAACGTAGAAGACAAGAACCTGGCCCTCGGCGACGTCAACGCCCCCGAAGCCTCTCACAGGGCTCCCGAGGGCGGTGTCATCGCTGGGCTGGAACAGGCGGCTGTCGACCTACGCCTTCAGATCCAACAAAATGCCCCCGATGCCCGCCTCAGCATCGAGGCCAAAAAGAAAAACCGGAGCGATGACCAAGTCAGCCCTCCGGTTCTCACCATCGACGTGCAATCGGCGCTCTCCGCCTTCATCCAAACGCTCACCCAGAACCCGGGTGCCTTCGGCACCCTGGCTCCAGCTCACCCTCAGGTTGGGGAAAACATCATACTTCCCCCTCTGCCACACCCCTTCGGAAATCCCACCCCTCGGGTGAGGAACGACGAAGGGGTGGTGGCCCAAGATACGTCCTCCCAGGAAGTTCAGTCCCGGGACCGCCATAATGACAACAGGGAAAGACCCCGTACTTCCGCCCTCAACCGGCTCGGAGGAGGGCCAGACCGCCGAGGG